TAAAACAAAATGGCCGCCAGTCGGCCATTTCGAACTTGATCCGAAAAAAAAAAATGACGTGCATCAAGGTCCTATTATGTTTAATGTATGTACCAAATTTGAACGAAATCCGTCCATGCATAACTGAGATCCGGGTCCGGAATGGTGAAAATGTGCGATTTTGATGCATTTTCGGCCTTAAAATGGCCGCTATTCGGCTATTGTTAATCGGATCATGAAAAAAATGCATGGCATATGTCCCATATAATGTGTGATGTATGAGTGAAGTTTGAACTTAATCGGTCCATGCATGTTCGAGATACAGGTACGCACGGACGCACACAGGACAAAACATAAGTCCCCGTTTTCGGACTACGTCCGAACGGGCACTAAAAATGAACAATATGTATAGTATCAAAGCAATCAAACTTACAGTTTTTAACAAGAAGTCGAAAATATCACTTTCTACCAAAAATGATAAAAATAATCACCAAAATTAGAGAATTGAAGATATCATCACGAAATGAACAAATCTGAGAGAGGACTACATGTAGTACCTATATATGTAATATCAAAGCAATTGGACTTGCGGTTTTTAACAAGAAGTCGAAAGTATCAGTTTTTACCAAAAATTACAAAAATATTCACCAAAATTAGAGAATTAAAGATATCATTACAAAATGAACAAATCTGAGAGAGGTCCACATGTAGTACCTATATATGTAATATCAAAGCAATTGCACTTGCGGTTTTTAACAAGAAGTCGAAAATATCACTTTTCACCAAAAATTACCAAAATCAGAGAATTGAAGATATCAACATGAAATGAACACACCTAAGAGAGGTCTACCCAAGGTATACAACATATACACCAAGTATCAAAGCATTCAGGCTTGTAGTTTTCAAGAAGAAGTCGAAAAAGTAAAACATTGACACGGACAAAGTCGACAGCGGAGCTAAAAATGTATGTAACAGAGCTCAAACAAACTTTTTGAATATTATAAAATTCACACGTTTCACATCAAATATATCATTTATTGTTGTTTTCGAACCCCCCTATTCAAAAGTGCTAGCTACGGGCCTGCTTTGGATAGATGAACTAAAAAATTTGACAGGAGTGGAAGAACAATCTGATAACAATATACCTCCAAGTCCTAAAGCCTTGGACCACTAATTAGTGAACGTTTACCTGAGAAAAATGTAGGACACTTGTAACAAAATGGCAGCCAGTTGACAATTTTGAATAAAAGACAGAATGACTTGCTTCAGTAACACAGCATAAGGCATGCCTTAAAAATGATCTAATCTCATATTAATTGTTGGTGTTTTTTGCGATAAAAAGTCAAAGTAACAAAAACAAGCAGCCTATCGGCTGAGATAGCTCAACTGTTAGCACTGCACATTTCAATTAAAGAACAGAAAATATCATTTTTCACTATAAATGATTGTGGTTTTTAACAATAAGTCGAAAATATCACTTTTTATCAAAAATGACAAAAATATTCACCAAAATTAGAGAATTGAAGATATCATTACAAAATGAACAAATCTGAGAGAGATCCACATGTAGTACCTATATATGTATTATCAAAGGAATTGGACTTGCAGTTTTTAACAAGAAGTCGAAAATATCACTTTTTACCAAAAATGACCCCGGTAAAATTGACAAAATTTGCCTTTCACACTCAATAGCTAGGGGAAATCACAACTTTCTCTTGAAATTTGTAATTTTATTAGCTTTTAATAAGTTCATTTGGTCCAAATAGAGCATTTTCTGTTCACTTTGAGATCCTGCATGTTTGAAATTGAATAGGGAAAAACAAAGGACATCAAAACATTACACGAGATTCAACAAACATGAATGTTTTTTTGGTTACTTCCATGTGTATACACAATTGATTATGGTAAATTGTGATGCAATTAACATGTACATACACTTTGTACAAAGTTGGCATGGAAGAGTGGGGTAAATTAACCAGTCACATTTAGAAAAACCCTTGTGTGACAGACAGCTCATGTTGTTGCAAGTACACAGCAATTGAACACTAGGGGGTAATACATACAGCAGCATTGCAAGCAAGGAGCCAGTAGATCATTATCAGATTTGGAGACAACATTGATTGCGTCATTCAACTACTTAGCTGAAACTAATGCTGGTTACGTGTACAAAACAAATTTATATGGTCACAGTAATAGATACACAAGTGGTTCTCTGTGCAAGTCATAACATAGTAGACATAGTTGGTGGTAAAAAAAAGTGACTTTTAAACAACATATACAACCCAGCATTTATTTAAACATTAAACAAATTCACTGGAATCACCAAAGCCATTTATTTTATCAATAAACCTGAATATTTATAAATTCAAACACATTCAGTTACACATTGTATGAGATCATGTTATGTCATAGGTTCGGCAAATAAATACAGTAGATAATGGCGAGGTAGGAAAGTGTCATCCAATCATAAATCATCATAGCCTGTCTGATTGATGCAAGCATTCTACCAAATAGAGGGAGGTGCTTGCCTAGCCAATCAAAACCAAGCCAATCATCTTGTTTGGATTTCAATAAACCACAGTTTGGTTTACAACTATTTATCGATATGTATCGTATATTTATTATCAATCTGATTAAAATCTGATGTAGTGTACGGGATTTAATTATTTTGGCTATAAACTTATTTTAATTTTATTACTTATGCCTTTTCATTTTATTATTTTACTTTGATTTTGAGATTTTTTTTTAATTCCGCCCTATTGGCTTTCGCAATTACCAAAACTTCATAAAATAAATACTAGATAAAAATAAAATAAAATAAAATAAATATACAAAAAAAAAAGCCAAAACTAGGATCTTATTTTAATCAGATTGATTTATTATCAGTATCAGTACAGGGGGTTTGTTTGACGTCAGTGTAATGGAATAAACATCTTATTGACAAATACTGTTATTTAACCACCAAAATACAACATATAGGTAGCTATTAAAAAGGCACAGATTTTGGTGTAAATAAGCAAGATTTTACTGTTACAGGTACATAGACTGTCCTGCCAAATCTAAGATAACAGTCACATCTCCCAACAGTGCAAATCTCAGTAGTTTGCTCAGACCACATATGATAAATTAAACATTACATTGCATCAAAGATGTACAGAAATACAATACGATACTTTGCCAACCTGCCACTGGCATAAAACCAGCAATATTACTTAAGTTTACTGTGTAAAAATTGCATTGTTTTTGTTTAAAAAGTAAAACCCTAAATTATAGTCTATACATCTAAAATTAAGTTGTCGCTCATTTGGAAATTGACTTAGGAATCCACCCTCGACTATTATAGTATTATGTATATGTAACAGGGCTGTGTCTAAACTGACCACAACCATTTTTAACAGGTACAAATTTTTGAGCACAATAAGTTTTGTTTTTGATCTCCATATTCCCTCTTAATTACACTGCACATACCAAATATATTAAAATATATTAAAATATATTAATATATATTAATATATTAAAATATATTAATGCAAATCGTGGATCTTAGTGGTATAACAACCAAGGTGCAACTGTGTTGTACAGTAGACGAACAAATACAAATCCAATTCGTCATGAATTGAAAAATTAATTTGGAAATTGATTCTCTGGATCCAACTTCTTCATAATTTTAAGAAAGCACTGAAGTCTAAAAAGAACACATGAATTGCATCAACCCCAATTTAACTTCTCAAACTTGTATTTGTTTTACAATAGTTGCCAAATACATTTTCTCTTCTTGTGTATGATAAAGACTCCACAGAATGCATTTTCACTTCCTAAAGACCCTACACCCAGGCCTCACTTCTCAAAATGCTAAGCACAATTCCTGTAAAAGTGGTTCTATTTCCATATTTTAAATATCTAATTCTTATTTACAGCGTGTATTAATATTACATTCCACTGTATGCAGGCCCACCACCGGCCTCAGGAACAACCCAGTTAATATTCTGACTTGGATCTTTAATATCACATGTTTTACAGTGTACACAATTTTGTGCATTTATCTGCAGTCTTTTCGCCTCGCCATCTTCAGTGGGAACATATTCGTAAACACCTAAAGAAAAGACACATGATAATTGGTTACAAATATAAAATGCTGAACAGAGTGTGATATATTTGGTAAGTTGACCCATCCCTATTATTGTAAAGGTGAAAGATATTGATAAAACAGTTGATATGCAAATGAAGCTAATTAATATGTGCACAGTAATCTCTACTCCACATCTACTGGTTCAAAATTCCAAAGTAATCAGAATTCTTATCATGTCTTTTATTTGTCTATACAATGTATTAAACCATGTTATAATGAACACCTTTTTTAATAAATTTCCTGATATGATGAACACATGTATAGTATGTGTTTCATTATACAGTAGTGAACACTTCACTATAATGAACTAATTTGTATATGCCCTAAAAAGTATGTGATGTTGTATACATGTACATCACATGGAACCTATATCAAACACGATGTGTTACGACCATGGCCACACATTGCAAATATCAAGATTCTAGTGAAATATAATATAGTTGATCAATATGTAAATCAGGCTAATTAATATGCGCAGTTGAAGCAAAAACTAATCAGGTGTCAAACTTGTTCCATCTCATCTGAATTCATCACATAGTGATGAAACCAAATTCATGCAGTATGAATACAAAAGTATTCTGAAGGCTGTTATCTAAAATACATGTATGTGGATGGATAGTTGCCATTTACTAAAAGGTGGACAGAGAGCACTCACCTGCTGGACAGAACCTTTCCTCTGGTCCATCATATACACCAAGATTATTCTTAACTGGAATGCTATCATCCTTTAATGTAAGATGTGCAGGTTGGTCATGTTCATGATTGGTTCCACTTAATGCCACTGAACTCAGAAGGTCAAAACTGATCTTGCCATCTGGTTTAGGATACTCTATTGGTTTACACTCTGCTGCTGGTTTCAGTGAATCACTATCCTTGCCTGATGTAGTAATTGATGTATTAGTAATATTCTTGTTGAGTTAAGTGACAAATGTGAAGATAATGTATATTGCTGATTTATGACGATCTTCTTAACCCTTTGGCGACCAAAGTAAACTAATGTAACTATAAACAAATTTGAAACCCACATTTTTTATAATTTTTCTAAAATTTTGATAATGACTTGTAACCAGTATGTTATGTTCAAAAAAGAAAATTACATAAAAAAACAGGCAAAATGTTGCACCAAAAAATTTTGCCAGGAAAAATTATGATACTCAAAGTGTGATGTAAAAAAATGTGATGTATTATCATATGAAATATAAAGGCAGGTTTCAGATACATGGTTGCATCATTAACAATAAGGTAACTCAAAATCAATGTAAATTAGCCTAATTTCTAATTTTATGTATGCATTGACAAAAATATAATAATCAAACTCCAATTTTAGAGCTATCTCAATCAACATACATCTGGAAATCGAATCGACCACTAACATGCGACTGGTAGCAGGAAACGAAAAACACAAAATAAAACAAAGTAAAAATTCCTTACATTTGTGTTTCATCGTCCATGGTTCCCGTCCCCTCATTAGATACACAAACAAACCAGTGTACATCATGGTACCATAAAGTCCAAATGGACCGTGGAATGATGGCCGTACGTTCCGAACCTGCTTCAGCTCGTTCCAGATCCAACTGTTTCGTATCCTTTCCTCATAATCATCCACAAATATTCCTAGAGAATAAATGAAGCATGGTGATATCACTTTAGCCTTTAGTCAATCATGTTCCCATTCTTTGTTCATTCGTCCTTGCTTATCTGATGCTCTTATGTCTAAATCACAGACATTTTAAAAGTAGAACCCTAACTCATAAATGCAGATACTCAGAATTTATTCATTTTGCAATAAATTGTGCTCACGGACAATATAATGATATTGAAATGTTTGAGAAAATGATGGTTGCATTTTAGAAAATAGTGGCCAAATCGTCAGGTTTATAATGCTTTTACAATAGGTTTCTATGGCAGAGATAATATACATTTAATATCCAAATTGTAGGCTAGTGACATATATTGTGACTGATGGAGTACTTTTTGTTTTCCTAAATTATTTCAAAAATCTGGGTTTTAAAAATTGTAAAAGAATGCAATTTTTCTTCACATTGTGTTCTATGAAATTGTTCCAAAAATAGCGATTTTTGAAAGATATTAAACAAGTTTCTCAAA